TCTCTAAAACAGACATGGCTACGGCTTGATGCTAACATGTTTGTTAACTGTTAGAATTCTGAGAAAAAAGTCAAAATTCTGAGATTAAGCTCAGAATTCTGACTTTTATCTCATATTATACTGAAATAAGATTCAAAAATCTGTTAACTTTTTATTTTTTTCAGTGGCCCTAATCCTCTTCCGTAAAACTGAGATGCCAATGCAGATGAAAATCTAAAACAGTTTTAAAAGAAGAAAGTTAGACTTTTATTTTGAAATTGCAGATAAGGCCGGATGTAAGGCCGGAAGTTCCGCATTACGACTGCGGATGAAGTTAACCGACAAGTGGCTAAGGCTAATGTTTGCTAACTAATTAGCAGGATAGGTGAGTGTTTTTAACGCAAACCTTTTTTTCTCAGTTTACTTCACCTATTATGGACACACTAGTTGTTGTATTAATGCCTAAAGATTACCAGCAGCGTGTTGTCATTGTGTTTCTATGTTGTTTGGGCCTTGTCAGTCCGCGGCAGGCTAACGCCGAACAGTAGCAACTGTCCAATCGTTTGTTTACGTTAGCTTGGTGGCTGGTTATTTTCCACCTTTACACAACGACGTAAAAAAAAAAAAACAGGTTTTGTAAAACTATCTATAAACACAAACTATTAAATTATTTAAGCTATATTTGAGTTATGCTATTTCTGTCCTTAAAATGTTATATTCCGGTCGAGTTTTTGTAGCTGGCTAGGTGGACATTTTCTGTACTCTGCTATAAGCCGTGAGATTTAAAGCAGATACACACATCAAAGAGCTTAGTATATTTTCGAACAATATTTATGCATACACTGATTTTTTTCAGTGGCTAAAAAGTCCCAAAACAAACGCGTTTTATTTGTTTTTCCGATGTTTTTTTATTTTTTTTTTTTACCTCCCCTTATTTGGTGGCTTAGTTAGTAAACAGCAGGCCGCAGGATAGCCTGGCTCTCTCTGGGATTGTTCAGGCCTTGTTTGTTGTCATCAGAGCCGCACTAAAGCAAACTTTGACATCGGGCAGCTACTGCAATAAAAACAACTAAACGCAAATCCAAAACCTGGACTGTTTGCTTGTTATAGAGCGAAACATATTATCCCAACTCTTAACTACATGACCTCTGTAGAAATCCCATATATTTATTAGTGGAGCTTCGACCAGAGATTTGGAGCAGATATATATTTTTTTATTTCTTATCTTCGTATGTTGACTTTTAAGCACGTTCCAGTTCAACTTTTTTGTGAATAAAGTAAAATTATCATCTTATTCAAGATGAAATTGTGACCAGATTCCAGAGCTTTATTTCCTTATATCACTGAAAGTCTACAAATACAGTCAAATCCTCCAGTATCTTGCCTAAGTGTACTTTTACTATCTTGGGCTTCCGAAAGCAGCAACATTATATAATCAAATGAAATAAAGAAATGTTGCTTCAATAATCCCCACCTCCTGTTTTCTGATGTTTTAACTCAATGTTTTAATTTAACAACATGAAGAACAGCTAAGTTTGTCTCTATTTAAAAGTAAAGAAAACGTTTACAGGGATTATCTTGAGTATTTCTTTTTAACCTTTGCACCTCCTCTGACCTCAATAAGAAAAAAGAAAAATCACTCATACTAGAAAGTAGAATAGAATAATTTTTGTTTCTTAACCGGTTTGGCTAGTGTCATTGTTGTGTGCAAAGCATAGCCAAGGAAGGAACACTTAATTTAAATTTAGTAAGTTTTTTATCAAGCTTGCTTAATATTGTGCACAGCATACAACCTCAAAAAATTGTTCTTATTGTTTATTGTATTTATTTATTGTATTTTATTTAATAATGAAAATATTTCTGTTGAGTTTTGGAGTCTTTGTTTTTATCCTTGTGGTATCGAAAATGGTATCGAGTATCGAATATATTCCTTAGTATCGGTATATATATATATATATATATATATATATATATATATATATATATATATATATATATATATATATATATATATATATATATATATATATATATATAGTGTTATATCAAACTGGTCCTATAGTCACTCTATTACAGATGGAGTAATGTAATGCACGTAATTTCGCATTTAAGCATTTCTGATTCCTGGTTGATGGGACAGGTGTTGTGAATGAAACGGTGCCCAGCTTGAAAGAGCTCCTGTGTGTCGCTGAATGTGTGCATTGATGACTGAAAGACATCTTCTGCCTCCATTTATCTATTTACTACAGTGTGTTGAATTCATGTTAATATGCATTTAATGACATTTTAATTAGTGGAAAAAAAATGCAGGGGGGGGGGGTATAAAAAAAGAAGTCTAATCAACCAAAACTTTTGTGACTGCCGATGCAGGACCTCCGTGGACCCCTATAGGGGTCGCGGACCCCCTGTTGAAGACCTTCGCTTTAGATTGTTAATGTCTGTAAAAAAAAAAAAAATAATAATAACAGCAGCTTATGTTTTATGATGAATTCAGCGATTGGATAAAAGGCCAGATTTCTGGTTTTTGACCAGCTCATAATTGTGGAAAATCCTCTGGATTTCCTTGTGCTGCTCTAAAATCTGTTTGTAGATTTGTTGGTTGTGGTTTTATTTACATGGATTTTACAATTACATGCTGGGTATTACTCAACAAATGAGTAAGTTTATTATAAGGTTTTAATTTTCAGTTTACCCTTAAATGTGTCACTATCAAGCAATTATTTACAGAAATGTTGTAATTTATATGATTTAACATTGTTTAAAAGTTAAACAAATATTAAGCCCATAGGGCATACATGAGAGAAAGGAAGTGGGAAAAGAAAAAGCAGTAGCATCACTCTCTGTATGATTTCTAGTTTGTTTGTGTAGAATTGTAAGTCATATGCTGAAATAGAAACACATGGCTCATTTTGTTTGTGATTTTTTTATTTATTTTATTTTTCCCCTTTCATGCAGGTTTCTACCACCGTGTGTGTTTGTTCCGGCCTCTACCATGGAACAGTGTGCATGCGTGGAGCGGGAGCTGGAGAAAGTGCTCCATCGCTTTGTGATGTATGGTCACCAGTCAGAGGAGCGGCTAGATGAACTTCTGCGCAGTGTCTGTGAGATACGAGCACAACTAGTAGCTTTTGGTGAGGAAATAACCCTATGCTAAATGTTACCCACACCTTGACTGCAGATCTTTAGTGTCAGTTGTTTACTGAAACTAAGAAATTCTAGTGTTATTGTCATTTATACTGTCTGGTGTAAACATGCAATCTGGTCGTTTTTATTTTTTATTTTTTTCTGTCTAGCAGGAGTACAAGATGCAGACCTATCGGTCCTATCCCAGAATATGGCCCAGTGTTGTAAGAATATCAAAGAAACAGTGCAGATGCTGGCCTCTCGGCATAAAGACATTCATGGCAGCGTGTCAAAAGTCGGCAAAGCAATCGACCGGGTTAGTACAAAAAACAAAACATATTTTCCAAGAATAAAAGATCAGGGTGCATTGGTCTTATGGTTTTAATATGCATTTATAGAATTTTGATGCTGAGATCAGTGCTGTGGTGGCAGAAACAGTGTGGGACACTCCAGAAAGACAGAAATATCTGAGTGAGTCTATTGTGGAGCACTTGTATCGGCAAGGGATGCTCAGTGTCGCAGAGGACCTTTGTCAGGTAAGTAAAGAGCCTGCAAATGGTTGCCTCACTTGGTGCTTTAAACAATTTAAAGTAAAAATACATGTTTTTTATGCTCTTAATTGTCCAAATATTACATAATTTGTACAAAAATATTGTTTTTAAAATGTATGAATTATATAGCAAAGTGCTACGTATCCAGATCAGATAAACAAAATAAATCCACTAATGTTCAGGGTTCCCGCAGATCCTTAAAAAGTCTTAAAAGACATTGAATTCTTCAATGTAAAACCAAGGCCTTAATTGTTATTAAAATGTCTTAAATCCATCTTTCATTGGTCTTAAAATTGTTACCACATCATAAATAGGATTTTATTTTTGTAATCCATATCAAACAATAAAATAATTGACAATATGTTTCTTACATTTACTGAACTGCTCGCTGTAACCATTATTGGTTCCGTCCCGATAGCGGAACCAATAAAAAAGATGTAGCGGCCGGATCTTGGGATGATGTGTCAGTAACTTTTTATCTGGACAACATTGGGAAGTTTTAAATTCAAAGGAAACTTGGCTATCCATCAAAGAGTTTTCTGCATGGCTAAAACCACTACCAGGGGAATGTAGATGAAGCACAATAGGAATCAAGGCAGTGGAGACACATGTGCGAAGCATGAACCTCAAAACGTCAATATCAAGTTATGGAGAAGCAGCAGGTATTTCTCCATTCTGTTCCACCCTTTTCTCTGCAAAGCCTCCGCAGCATCTCTCACATCACCAACAGCGCCAATAGAACCAAATCTCAGGAAAGTGCTTGGCGCTACGCCACCAGTGAAAGTAGGGGGATTGAGTAGGGAACAAAACAAAGTTAGTGAATTCAGTTCAGTAGTTGTTAAAAATATATCTGTTATTTGTTTGTCTTTAGCTTTCTTCCTATATGGAAAATTTTTCAAAATCTGAAACATATCTACTCGGCCAGAAAGTAATGGTTTATGTTAAAATAAACATTGGGGGTAAATTTGTCTCTACCAGGTTTTTCTTGTGTTTTTTTTGTAAAGTTGGTTTTAAATTTTTATTTTAAGCAGCATTAAGAAGTCTTAAAAAGTCTTGAGTTAAACTTGCCTTATGCTGTAGGAACCCTGATGTTGCAGTGAGCTTTCCTCCATAATCTGCAGACAGTGATGCTAATCATGGCGCAGCTGATGACAGCAGAATCTGGGTTCATTTCCTTTGATTCAGTTTTATTCATTTAATACACAATCAAGGGTACAATTCTTGTTCTTTTGAAGAATTTTTTCTAAAGATCAATTAAAAACTTCAGTGGTTGAAAGTGGTTTGCTGTTAATTGGAGAAAAAAATAATTTGTATCAATTACTTTATAGTTCAGAAAGATTCATTGATATTTTATTTGTTTTAAACTTCTTTGATTCTTGTGTCTGGGAAAAGCCACACTATATAATTTTTGTTTATAAAAGTTATTAATGTTTTTGCTTTTTCAAACATCCTCCAGGGATCCTGGCCATCTTACCTCTTTCTTGCCGTCTATGTTTTCAGTTTTCTGTAAACCTCTGCCAGCAGACTATGTCAGTTTTTACCCACCAGAGGGGATCTTTGTTACTGCTGTCACAACCAATGATTTATGGACATTCCTATAGATCTGTATTCGCTTGGATTAATCCTGATTATGTGACTCTGATAGATATTTATTATCAGGAGGTCTTGTTATGTAGTTTTTTAACCATATTTTTGAAGTTAACTGAAGCGCTGCTGCAGCAAAGAGGTAGAGCTCGCCACCCGGCCTTTGTTCTTTAGGAAACTGCCCTGGTTTTTAGTCTCAACCCAGTGACCTCTGCTGCATGTCCAGCCCTTGTTTCTCCACCCCTTTCCTGTCCAACCTTTTTCAAAGTAAAAGCCTCTACTGCCACAAAAAATAAGCATAATGGAAGCTGATATTTACAAATTATTTTTAAAAAATATGGTTAAACTCTTTTATTTCAAAACTTAAGGCAAATAAAATATTTAATGTATGCTCTAATTTCATGCTTTTTCACACTGACTGTAGGGATGTTGAATAATCTTCTTTGTTTTCTTGATTATTTGTATTTTAAATAAAACACAACCTAACATTATCCTCAATACTGGTGGAGAAACTTAAACCTAAGGATTGAATTTAATCTGATTTTTTTTTTTTAATTCCCGTGCGGACCAACTGCCGGTGTTTTCACCCAACATTGATTGTAAAAATGGTGGCGTCTTATTTAAATTAAATAAAAATAGTTGAACAGATGATGAACAATAAATCTAACCCATTTTCATTAGGTCCTCCTTAAGAAGGCTGCAAAATTATATGAATGATTTTTGTGAATTGTTTGCATTATGAACTAACTGCAGTAGATTTAAGGTTATTTTGAAATAATAAATATGATCTTAATTTAGATTAAAAAGTCCCTAAATCTATTGCAATTAGTTAATGAAAAGTTTTGTTTTTAGGAGTCTGGTGTAGTTATCGACATGAGTATGAAGCAGCCTTTCCTGGAGCTAAACAGGATCCTTGAAGCTCTGAGGATGCAGGACCTTAGGCCAGCATTAGAGTATGGAAACTCCACTCAGATACGCAGTTTACTCTGATTCCCACGTACGTCCTGTACTTTAACTACACCTGTTTTCCATTTGTGTGTATTGCTTTAGGTGGGCTGTTTCAAATCGGCAGCGCCTTCTGGAACTAAACAGCAGTTTAGAGTTCAAGTTGCATCGTTTGTACTTTATAAGTTTGCTCAGTGGAGGAATCGGAAACCAGATGGAGGCCCTGCAGTACGCCAGGCACTTCCAGCCATTCGCATCCCAACACCAGAGAGGTCTGTGGCCCAGATAGATATTTAGCATTTTTGTGTTTTACAAGATATTATTTGAACTTCTTTTTTTAAACAATAAAAAAGTTTTTATTTTTTTTTAACACTAATGAGGATTAAGAATTAAACAAATACTTTTGTAAAACTGATATAGAAGTCCTTGTCTTGTCTCCACTGTTTTGCAGATATCCAGATCTTGATGGGCAGCCTGGTTTATCTACGTCATGGCATTGAAAACTCTCCGTATCGCAGTCTGCTGGAGACAAATCAGTGGGCTGAGATCTGTAACATCTTTACCAGGGATGCCTGCGCTCTGCTGGGCCTCTCTGTAGAGTCTCCTCTTAGTGTAAGGTTAGTAAAACATCATGATATAATCAGATTTCGTTTGTTTTTTCTTTCACTAGATCTCACCTGAGAAATGCAAAACATTGAGTTAATGGCTTTATCTTTCCTGAAGCAATTAAAGTCTTATGTAGTCAACAATATTTATCTTCATGACAAATGTGTTTATTTTTATCTCATAATAGCATGATTGGAAAACAGGTTCCAGAAGCCTTGTTTACGTGTTTTTTGAAGAAAATGGAAAGGTTTTGTTTGGTTTCTACGAGGGCTAAAACTATTAATTAGATTAGTCTATTATTAAAGTAATCTTCAACTATTTTAGTAATCGATTACTCGTTCTCTGGAGTATAGAAACTGTAAAATATGCCTCTAGCTGATAAAGTGACCCACTTAGAGCAGTAATTATATCAAATTTGTAAAAAAAAAAAAAAAAACATATATGTAAACATATTCCATGTAAGATAAAAAAAAAAAAACTTCGTCTGTTGATATGTTCTATCCAGAACTCCTCAGGTGGAAACATCTAAGCTTCACCTGCTTCAATTGGGTAAAAGTCTTCTTTTAAGTTTAGATATCCACTTATTAATCGAATAATTGAAAAAATAATCAACAGATCAATCGATTTGCAAAATAATTATTTGCAGCTCTATTTTCCGCAGTTCATTCACAGCCAACATTTTTCTTTCTCTGACAATTTGAGAAAAAAGTTCCAGAGTTGAATGATTTTAAAACTTCCAGCTCTCTGTTGTCATGTAATAAAACAGGAATTTGAAGAAATTAATGGTTCAGGTCGATTTTTGATAAATGAATCGATAAGCTCTTGATTGAGCTTATCGATCAATTGACAATTGATTAATAAGATGACATATTCTAATATCTCAATTAGTAAATAAAACGAAGTCATACTTTTCTAATGCACACAATTGGAAAAGAAAATCTACGCTATTCTCTTACTAGCTTTATCCCTTACATGTTGTCACCAAAGTCTCCAACAACAAAGAGAAGAATCACCAGTCTAGTGCTGTCAACATTTTCGCTCTTGTGTTAAACATAGGAAATAACCCCAGCCTGGACTCATTGCCTCAAAACTGTTCTGGCATCACTTCTCTTGAAAATACCTGAGGCTCAAATTAACTAAGAGTGGAGCCCTCTAGTGGACGAGAGTAATATTACAACACTGGGAGAAATTCCTTTTAAGTAGACATAGTTGGGGCTAAATGATATAGAAATGTTGAGTTTCTTTTTGCACTAATTACAATCATGTACATAATTCACTCCAGGTTTTCATTGTTTTCAAGGCCTTCAAAGCCACTTTTCTAGAGTCCATTGTCGCAGGAATTTACTGTTACTGTTGTGTGGAAAAGTGGTTACTTCTACTCTCATGCATAGATCTGTACTAGCTGCAAATCTCAATCCCATTCTGTGTGGCAGCAAACCTATTTTACATGCATTTGCACCAACTAAAGGTCTGGAATAAGAAAGTTTGTGTCCGATTCTCACCAAATGTACACCGACTATAAAACATTGACTAATTTTTCTAATACTGCAAATGCCACTAATTAGCCAACACTAGATGTTGTCAGTTAATTGGGCAAAGCAAATTTTAATCTGGTTAACAATTAATGTCATTTATTCATAATTCCTAGGAGACATTAATGCGCACCTGTACAACATAAACAACCGCCGGCCAGTTTTTGTGCTTTCCAATAAGGGGTTGATTTTCTGCCCTGTTTGTAAGCAGCAAACATTGTTGTTGAGTTTTAAATAACTCACCACCAACTAGTGGTGTTAGACAGGGAATGGCACTATTTCCACTTTTCTTCTGCTGCTGTGTGTGCAGATAATTGATTAAAAATATAATGTTAAAGAGTTAATAGAAATAGAAAAATAATCATAAATAGTTTTTAATGGATTAATAAACGTCACGTTTTGAAAACATCCCAATTGGGACAAATTTCTAGGCAGATATTTTTTGTGAAAATCCTTGTTGAGTTTCTGACATTGAGCCATGGATTCCCTGATACAACTTTTTCATTTATGATACGGATATCGCAGCTTTAAAAATGGACCGATATCGATATTGACGAATCATTCACGCTTCTGTGACTTATTCTGTACTGTAGAATATCATAAAAGGCTTAATCAAGTGATATTACTAAAACAGAGAACAATAGAAAACAACAAATAGGTATAGGAATAACTGACCCATGTAATATTAAGCAATGGGCTTCCAGAAATTTGAAACTGAAGCAGAGTGTTTCTATCAGCTTGACGATATTGGAGATTTAACCCTTTTTAGGGCACTCAATGAAATACTTTGAAAATCAAATTTTCAGGCCAATAGTGTTGTTGGAATCCAAGACAAGATCTTATTATCTTTGTAATATGGATATTTTGATGGCAAAAAAAATGTCAGTGTAATAACAAACTCCAACTTGCCTGAATATATTTAGAAAAATAACAAAAGTGCTTCTATAAAAATCATGTATCACGTTGATACTGGCACCTATGGGCTTATTAACTTTTTAACTTTCCTTTTTAACTTTTCAATTAGCTTTGTACCTTTTTTTTCTTGACTTCGTAACTTTTTTTTTACAACTTAATTTACAGTAGGTTATATATCATTCAAGGACCCACCAAATTGGTCAAATCCAAAGATAAGATGTACAGTCATGTAGCAGTATCTTTGCTGAATGGCTGGAAATAGATCTCGTGTTTCTAGACCTCACTGAGGGAAGGAGAGTGGGACTCCATTTGTAAAGGGGATGCAAGTTATCAAAAACGGTAACTTGCCCTATAAAGGGTTAAGACATAGGCTGATAAAATCAGTTTTCTGGCCGATATCGGACCAATTTTGATATCTGATCAGGATATCCCTACATACCGCCCACTAGAGGGGTAACAGAGCTTCTATGTAATTCCTACTGCTACCTATAAACAAAAATAGTATTTAAAACAGTCCTGTTTTAGACAAAGCTTCATCGTTTTAACCTTTTATGACTGGCAACAAACTGCAATTATGAAGAGATTACAAAATTGATTGACCATACAACTGGAGAAGAAAACATTTAAAGTGATTTTTATTGTTCCTACTCAGCTGGAACAGAGATCAACAAATTGACATTTAAACTAAAATAAGGAGTACCAATTTCTTTTCATGTGATTAATTGACATTTGTAGGAGGACAGAAGCCCAATCTTGGCCTTATTAATAAAGCTATACAAATTTTCCACCTTCCTTGTGGATAAAGAAGGCCATCCCACTTCAAAGTAAAGTTCAAAATGGCGACTCAAGCCTTTTCAGCTTGTAGCAAACCTCAGAAGCATGATGGGCAGAATTAATCTTGTGAAGAATTTGGGCTGAGGTGTTATAATACAACAGCTCTCCATAATCTTAAATATATTGCTTTTACAGGCTGATTTTACACCTAAAATTAATTAATTGTTTAATTAATTGGATAAGAAAAGACAAATTCTGTGTTGGTTTCTTCTCAAGATTTTCAATATGAGGCTTTAAGGCGATGGAGTCCTGAAACAAAACCCCAGGTATCTCAATATTATGTCCACTATTTTTTATCTTTTAGTTTCGCATCAGGATGCATGGCCTTACCGGTGCTGATGAACATCAAACAGGTGATCGAACAGAGACAATGCAGTGGAGTGTGGACGCACAAAGACGAGCTCCCTGTAAGTCTGTGATTAAACGTTGCTTCATCGGCGTGTCTTCATCCAGAGTGAACTTCACTAATCTTTTCTTTCCGTCTGTATGTGGAGATTGAAATCGACCTGGGGAAGAAGTGCTGGTACCACTCTGTGTTCGCCTGCCCCATCCTTCGACAGCAGACCTCCGAGAGCAACCCTCCCATGAAGCTCATCTGTGGCCACGTCATCTCCAGAGATGCGCTCAACAAACTCACCAACGCCGGGAAGTAAGTTCTTATAAAATAGTTGCTGTGATTAGTTTTTGTCACATTGCATCCCCCAGCTGTAATGTATTTTATGTGTTTAACCACCATAAACTGCTGCTTAAGTGGAAGTTAGTTTTCATCTAGAATTCCCATGCATGTTCCTCTACATATAGTTCTTCCTAAAGAAATCCTCCCTCTGCATGACGAGGCCTTCATCTACGGAAGAGGATTAGGGCCACTGAAAAAAAAAAAAAGTTAACTGATTTTTAAATTTTATTTCAGTTTAATAAGGGAAAAAAAGTCAGAGTTCTGACTTTAATCTCAGAGTTCTGACTTT